TTAACGTCCGTGTTATTCTGCGGAGCCGTCAAGCGCAGAATCTTTGCGCTAACAAGGTGGCGCGCCGTTCGAGTAGCCAAGAACGTTTTTCTGGTGGTCCTTTGGGAAGTGGCGAATGCCCGGCGTGGTCCGGCATATAACGAGGAGCCCGATTTTTTTGCGCATTAAAATATCGACTAATTGCCCCAGGATTCTCCTTCGGTTTTTGCCAGCGACAAGACGACGAGTATCGGCAGCAGCATCGAGGACCCGGGACCAGGCGGTGGCAGTCGAAGGAACGCGAACGTGACCGGCCCACGCAATTTTGGAAATCCCATCCGACAAATTTACACTCACCATTTAGGGACTGGTCAGACGCGACATTAACGAAGGAAGGAAGTCCGTCCAAGGAATACAGGAGTGGCAGTTCCAAATATTCCCTCGATTGGAATTTAACTTTATCCAATTTTTTTTTTTTTTTTTTTTTTTTTAAATCAAACTCCCAAGTAGTTTCCCAGGGTGTAAAATGTCATTGACTTCGTTACACGTTACCGGGAGTACCTTGGGGTACCTCGAGATATCGTGGTGTCAATTGTGTTATTTAGTAGCTGACCCATGGCGGATACCACTGGAATTCGTGGTGGTCCTTTAAATTTATAATGCGAACGCAACTCCCTGTTTTCCACGCGCTTCTAACGAGCTCGTTTAATTCTTATTGGACGAAGCGACGTTTCCTGAAATTTCTCGACTAAATCTCCTTTGCCTTTCAACACAGTCTCTCGTCTACCTTCGGCTAAGTTCGAAGAACCAAAGGCAATTAAAAGGTCCAAGTGGCTGAGCCGCGGCCATGGGATACGTATAGCGTACAGGGTATGGCAGTATGGTATAACTCGTGACCGATTGATCCCCCCGAAGTCCTTGTATTTTCGAAAAGGTACGCCCGGTATTTCTGTGTCGTGGAACGACGAATTTATTTAAGCCCTTTTTCCACCTCTTATTCTCCCTTCTTTCCGTCTTGGTCGGTAACAGCTGGGCCGCGTTTTACGGGTGTCATGAATCCCCCGAACTTATAAGGAAGAACGCTGAGAAAAGGGTAAATAAAAATGAAGCAAATCGAGCATAAACAAACAAACGTCCAAGGAATTCCTCTCCCCTTCCGGTGAATTGGATACCAACTGAAACAGTATAGAATCAGCAGTCGACCAGACCCTCGGCAGTGCTAATTTTCTCTAGCGATATACCCGAGCAGGATCATCAGTTAAACGGGATCGCAGTGATTGGCAACCAATTAGTATTGTCTCCCAGTTAAATTATTAGTCCCCGTTAAAGTCCCATGGAGACGATCCCACGTCATCAGGACCTAACCTAACCACCTACTCCATGGAATTCTCATGGGAAAGGTCAATAAGAGAATTTCACAGTTTCCATATCGTCCCAGATACGCGATCGCGTTCCCCCATGGTGTTCCATGGAACAAAATCAGACGTATGGATTCGCCATCTGAAGTTCTCGTGCGGACACCGGTTTCCCGTTAAACACCATAGAAAAATATTGCACGAAAGATAACACGAAAACGTATGGCTAGAGCGCGATCTTTGCCGTCGAGTTCTCATTCTTGATCGAGCGCGAAGTCATAGTTGGCCATTGGAAGTGATTTTCAGCTGATCTCCCGTTACGTTAACATCGCGAGGAGCCCGAAGTGATCCGAAGTAGCCCGAAGGAACGAGTCTCCCGGGGCATAACTACCTCTATCCGAGCGTAATTCTCCCGCGACATGAATCCGAGCATCGGTACACACATCGTGGAACAGTGGCTGGCTCCCAATTAGGGGTCCCTCTTTTAAGTAATGTCGTCGTCCTGCTCGTACGCTCGAGCGACTTTCCGCGGTGTCCTCGTCGTTCGCTTGTATAAATTAGTCCCAGCCGCCACATAATGGCGTGTCGATGCGCTACTGTCCCTGGACGCTCGTGTCTTTTTCCCTTTATCTCCGGTGTGCAGGTACCCTTCTACCTTCTATCTTATACCCTATACCATATATACCTTATATCCTCGCCCTGCGGTTAGTCCCAACTCACTCAGGCCCGATCCCAATGGACGGGGGCCTTCTGTCCTTCGCGCACTCGTCAGACCGAGGCCCCCCGTTTAATTTACGACCAATTAATTTGGATAAAGTGAATGAGGACCCCTATTTTCGATGCCCGCGTTAACTCTGAACTTTTATCTTTTATTGGCTCTCTCTCTCTCTCTCTCTCTCTCTCTTTACGTCGCCCCGACGTCATCATCGCCTTCGTCCGTCCCTTCTCCCTTTTACACGTAGCTCGCGGGGTTATTTTCAAACTTTTCGGGAGGTCCTACCTTGGCATCTTCCAAATAGGGGAGGCCTTTGATGGGACTTACGGCGTTCGGTAGCGATGGGTCCTGTCGTTAGAATTCCACGGCGTGTTCAATTTTTGATTAGGGGGACTCTCACCCGAGGGATAATAAAACGACGAGCGATGCTTTTGAAGTCGCGCGGAGTTAAAAGAGTCAATAGGCCTCTGTCGTAAATTCTAACGCGAGGACCGATCAGTGCACACCTTCCATGATAAATTCGTTAGCCACCCCCTGGACCAAGGATACATAATCGTTAGGGTCTTTTTGAATTCATGAAAGAGCCACGGCCGCGACCCTTGGACCTTTTCTTAGCGGATGGCTCCGCCGTAGAGTTCAGCCGGCTGAATGCTCGACGGCGATGGCTGTTTGGTATTCCGCGCTCGTCCCAGGGTATAATTGGCCGCCAACTGCCGACGCTCCTCCGGGTATCGCAAAGACAAGAAATTATTCTTTAATTAATTGTCAGCGGCTCATGTGGCCCTGGTACACTGCGAGGAATCGCGAGTCCATACATAAATTTACATATAAGGGAGCGGTAACTGCGTTTCCGATCGCGACGGCCGCGGCCAGAACAAATACGCGTGCGTCGTGTACTGCATTAAACGGCCCTGCCGTTCCCGACTGTGACCGACTGGCGACTTTGGGACTGACGGCTACCATCCTTCAGGCTCTGACGTAAATTTTTATTCGGACGACCAAATTAAATTCTCATAGATTTCGGAGGCATGGAAAGTTAACGTGCGATACGGATTTACGAAGTTTGGCACTGCTCGTGGTGATTGGCATTGGTTCGTCCGGATAGGCTCCGATCAGGATACGGGCGCACGGGGCCCTAGAGGGCAGTTAGGAGCGGCCGAGGAGGACTCGAGGAAGGCGGCGTGACTCTTTGATCGAAAGAGGCTGAGAAACAAGGGATACGGCCTGTATTGCTTCCCTGACGTCACGTATCAGAGAATGTGTGTTGTGGGCCTTTAAGGCCCCCTCTTGGGCTCGGACCGTCAGGCCCCGCGCGTGTAGAACCGTGGTGGTATATAGATATTTCATAATTAGCGGCGCCCGGAGGGTGGGGAGACTCTTCGATAAATCAGCGCGCCGCCCGGGCTTAAAACTTAATTAAAAATTTAGTCAAAAACCAATTAGCGGCCTCGGCGAATTAACATATTTTTAATTACCTGCCGGACACTTTCATCTATCGATTAGTTACGAGCGAACTGCCGCGTAAACAGGATCAATTTATCGAGAGTTCTTGCATTACGCGCGTACAGGCCGATTCAGGCAAATTCGACGGGCTCGTAGAAGAAATATTATCGTTCTGGCATTCGTAATCTCCAATTATACTATTACCGCTAATGATCTGCCGAGTAATTTCATATATATATATATAAGCTGAAGAATTTCATGAGAAAACGAGTCGTACGTACCTGAGTGTAGAAGCCTGTTCGTGGTATGAGTATTTACGAACTATAAAACGTCGGGATAACCTGTCGGCTACCGATACCGGGTGGGAAGACGGTAGCAACGATGAAATGGACATGCTAATGGCGATTATATTTTTCACTCTCTTCTCTCTCTCTCTCTCTCGATCGCTCGACGGAACTTTGAAGAAGTCGAGCGTATCCTGCTCCAATCTCAAAGGCATTAAGATTAGGCGGGCAGTTAAATATTGAAACCGCTTTTATTCCACTATAACGTACTTCCATGGATAAATTATCATGTTACATTTATACAGAGTGTATTGGTACAGCTAGAACGTGTTTTTCCATCCTTTTCATCTTTTATTTCTTCATCCTTTTAATATCACTTTCCCAGGGCTCGCGGGTGCTTCGGGATCCCGTCGCTTATGCGTATCCTCGTACCCGCGGATACGTACTTTACAATATTTATGGAATCTTTCTTGCATCTTTTTTTTTTTAAATCCTTTGCAAAAACAATGCGCACGGGCGTGTACGATTTTCACTCAGATAATTCGTGCACTCACGTGTATTCGCAATTTTGCGGATAGTCCAGAGCGTGTTAGGCATCGGCTATTTACATTATGTACAACGGGTTCTTACGTAATTTTATTTATTTTTTTTTCCCATTTGCTCCTCTTCCACTTGAGATCAAGGACCACCGAGTGCCTCCGAATGCTGATGCTGGCGGCGTGCCGGTGTATCCAGAATGCCCTGCGACTCCCCACGCCGTCGTTGTTCACGATTCTCAAAAACGATCGCAGAGATCGGACGTAGCGATCGATAGAAGCGATCGAATGGCAAAGCCACTAGCGCGCACGTCCTAGCGAATCCGAGCAAGCGGCAGGTGCATTCCGCACTGGAATTTCTTGTGGTTTCCTTTGCACGCGCTTAAGTACGTACAAATGTAATTAATCATCTTGAAGTATTTGCCGTAAACGAGTGTCTCATAGGAAGTCACCTAATAGATACGAAGTCAGTACAGGTTGGAGTTGTACGATTAAGTGTGCAGGGCCGGCGGATGGTATACTGTCCGAGTGAACATACCATTGTGAATATATTTAACGCAAGATCCTTATATTATTTTGAATTTTTTTTTGTTTTTTTTTTTTTCAAAAAAAAAAAATCAATAGCTTTTATCCTCAGTTCGCATCCCAACGTACTGACGAATCCGTAAACCGATAATGAATTTTTTTAATTTTTTTTTTTTTTTTTTTTTTTCAAAAAAAAAAAATCAATAGCTTTTATCCTCAGTTCGCATCCCAACGTACTGACGAATCCGTAAACCGATAATGAATTTTTGTCTTCCTTAATCCTCGTACTCGAAAGGACTGTTGAATCCGCTTGAATCCATGGATCCAATAATGATGACGGATGATTGATTGCACGGGAATACTGCTATACGATCGGTGGGCTGGTTGCTCAATTCGAAATTGAATCCCGGCTGCTCTCGGGCCCCGTCAGCCGGGGGCCCTGTGTTTTCCACGTTGAATTCATGAGTGACTTTCGGTCCTGGATATTCCTAAGGTCTGTGTCCAGGGGGCCCCATGAACATGGCTGCCGCTGCCGCGGCATGGGTGTGCCTTGCCATGGCGGCCGCAATGAAGGGGGGCACTCCTGGGGTACCAGGGGGCCCCACTCCGGAGAACATCAGCCCCGAACCAAAACTCGGGTGCAACAGTGGCCTCGCGGATAACCTCAGCTTCTCGATCTCGGCCTCTTGCAGTCTTTTCGCCTTCGCGCGTCTATTTTGGAACCATATTTTCACCTGGAATTCAGATTGAAAAAGAAACGTACTGTAAAATTAAATAAGACGGACGAACTTGTTGCTTACAATAACGTTAATAATTTATTATTTCATCACGCGCGTTACGCGCTCTCCCGTATGATGGCGCGTATCAACGTACTAATTAAGGTATTTAATTATCGAATTGAAATAGCATGAAATTGATCCACCTTCGTGTACGCCAAGTTTAATTACCTTAACTACCGGCAAAACGAGCGAGGATTACACGTTCTTACATGGACGGGGTATATCAAATATGCCTCGAGAAAAGTTCCATTCTCAGATTGCGTAATTGCAATTCTTGTTGAGATAATTGTCTAATTGCCAACGGAGTACCTGGAAGCTCCCTAATTATGATTTCCGTTGACACCTTCGCTACGCGTGTATATATATCTGACTCTAACTTCACTATATCTACTTGGCATGACACTGAGGCCAGCTTTCTTATTTTCGCTCACTGAATTCCGATAAACCACGATTATGATATTACATTCATATCTCAGGATTGACGTGGACTCCTGGTAAATCGTCTGGGCGGCATGAAAAGCCGCCCTGAAGGGAAAAAGGTGAAAAAGATGCTGCGAGGGGTCCATCGAGTGTGAGAGGCCACGGAAATCAATACACGTGCCATACTCTCTTTGGAGGTGCGGAGGTGTGAATGTGCCGTGAACCTCCCTATGGGTTGGCTTGTTATTACTTGTCAAGTTTACTACGGTTAATCCTAAGCATCGTTTACTTCGTATCTTTTAATACCATCAAGTTTAATTATATTGATTAATTTTCCTCTATTACATTAATATAGCCAAGCGGCAAACAAATCTTTGGCAAAATCAGTTCAAACGAATAATCCAAGTCGAATTCAGGTGGTACCACCCTGTTCGCATAAATAACTCGATACGCCGTGAGTGGGTGGGTATTTAGAGGGTTGGTCAGGTCTTATCTAAGCAAATGAATGCGACACGGTGTCGCTGAAAGCTTCATCTCGCCTGATGCATTGTAATGCACGTGCAAAGTGCATCCTAACACGCCAACTACAAGGTAAACGGCTTTACGAGATTTTACGAGTGACGTAATTCGAACGCAGTGTAAAAAGGGGTTGGAATAAATTTTAAATTAAAAAACTTTTTTTTTCTTTTTTTTTTTTTTCAAATCCCAATATCGAAATTTACGTTACCTGCGTTTCCGTGAGATGAAGCGACGACGAGAATTCCGCTCTCTCCGCTATCGTCAGATATTGCTTCTCGCGAAATTTTTTCTCAAGCGATAAGAGCTGTTGAGTCGTAAAAGGCGTTCTGGGCTTTCGATTAGGTTTATGCTTCCTGAGGGTGCATCTTACCGGCCCCGGTCCAGGTCCTGGTAACCTTAAATCGCCTAAAAACCATAAAGAATTGTGAAAAACACGATCGAGGTGTGATCTCGACGTAAATTTATTCAGGAGGAAATCAATTTAATCGAGATCAATGACGTAATTGGCATATCGTAAACGCGGACACTTATATTGGTATCACGGGAGTGGTTCTTTCAAATTAAAAAAAAAAAAAAAAAAAAAAAGAGAGATTAAACAGAAATACTCCGTTCCTATTTATGTCAGCATGCGCGAAGCGTATATCCCGGGAGGAGAACGATTTCCAAATTAGAGTCGGTAACGAGCCGCTAAAAATAAAAAAAAAAAAAAAAAAAAAAAAGAGAGATTAAACAGAAATACTCCGTTCCTATTTATGTCAGCATGCGCGAAGCGTATATCCCGGGAGGAGAACGATTTCCAAATTAGAGTCGGTAACGAGCCGCTAATTAACGATCGGCGAATACGGGAAAAAGAAGCGGAGACCATTGTCGGACTGTACCAATAGGTTGGTACATCGGTAAAGCCTCTTATATTCTGCTTCCCTTTCGGCTCTTGATCCTCGTCCAGGAGAAGCCAACGGTTAAGTATATACAGACTCCATAATTATTCAACGCACATAACCGATCAATCTGTTTTTCTTCGGTTGCTAATTAATTCCCGTTAATTACCTCTAGGAGCAATGTTCAGTACGTAACCAGCGTCGTCGTGTTGCGGGACCTTCCTTCATCTCGGATACAAATTAACCTGAGAGAGTGTCTTTAATGTCGCGTATAAGGACAGGTAGAGTCACGATGGATCTATCGGCTTTGTTAGTCGAGTCCTGATAGGCCTTCTACATCTTCGTACGATACGAGGAATCAATCTTTTGAGTCAAGCCGACGTAAAGACAAAAACGAATATAAAAATAAAAAATTTTCACCCATCAACCCCCTTCGAGCTTTATCCCGAGTATACTAACAATATTATAATATCGAATCGCTACAAAATATAGTAGCGAAGGAATGAAAAAAATCCCATCGTACGAATCTTCGTATTATACAATTTCAAAGTGATATCAGCAAAATGATAAACTTTGTATAAAAATAATATAAATTTTAATGAATTTTTATTTTTATCCTATTTAAAATTTCTAGTTTCTCATTCTAATTAACCATACCGCGGTTCGACATACTAATTAACTACGTCCGTCACGAGAGTCATAAAGTGACTACTTGAATCAGTCACGAGCACAGTTGCCACAGGCTAAGATTAACTATCCAAAGATTTAATAACGCTAATTATTCATTGCCACTCTATATATAAACCGCGTCTAATAAAATAGATTGAAATAGTTAATCGCTGTGTTGAACAGCGAACAGATACACATCGTGTAAAAAAAAGGATCCAGCAAGTGTATCGGATAACATAGAAATGATCGCATGTCCATATACAAGTTAACGAAGGAATAAATCCATATTCGAGCCTGAAACAAGCGGAACGAGTAGATACAGTTCATTCAGTAGCAAGAGAATCCGGACCCTCCTGTCGGTCCATCGAACCGTCGATCTCAGCATCTCGATCGTCTCGATCCGGATAATTATGTCCGACGGATGATGAATCGTTTCGAATATTTTGTACAACATTATTGGATCGGTTCCCGGACATCGTTAATTCGTCCCTGGTTTATATACAAGGAGATAAACGTAAGATAAAAGCAGATTCACCCGAGCGTTATAAATGATGTCTAAATTGATATTTTTCAAAAAGCTCCATACAGCGGGGATGCTGCGAACCCGCTTGACCAACCTCGATTTAAAAAAATATAAATTCATACCCAACGAACGTCGAATCGAGTGGATGAAAAATCCTAACAGTAGTGTCGGACGAACTTGTTATTTTCTTTGGTTACTTTTTTTATATTATTTTTTTCAAAATTAACGAACTCGGACTACCCCTTTAGGTATAGACTCGTTTGTAACTTCACTTGCTCGATTCCTTTATTCGACTCTATCCGTTATCTCTCTCTCTCTCTCTCTCTCTCTCTCTCTCTCTCTCTCTCTCTCTCGCTACACCACCTATATATACATACACTCCATTCTGCTCTTCAGCTGGCACCACTTTTTTTCACAAATCCTCTTCTTCAGCCACCCGTGCACTCGCTGCAACTAGTACTGCAACGTGTGCTCGAGAGCGTCTCTCTACGTTCCACTCGGTGATTTATATCCGTGATCCGAGACTTTCTTTCCTGAACGTGATCCGTAGCGTCGGTGACGATACCCACGATTTTTACACGGTTAAGATCATTTATCCTTAAACTTTTACCCTCTTCGTTTAATCCCCCCCTCCCTCTCACTCCGATATATCACTCAAAGGAATTACCAACTAGTACATTTTTTACCTTACTCTTTCTCCCTTATACACAAAGCCAAGAGATCCTTGGTACTAATCGATTTTCCAAGAGACACCTGTACCTGTATACATACACACGACATACCGTATATTTATGTATCTACCAAGTTTTTCGATCGCAACCATTAACGACTGCCAGTATCTACGGTCGTCGACAATTTCTTAATGGCGGATATACGTGTTCGACAAAACACAGGGGTATAATAAAAAGTTATAAGAAAATATGTCTTCGGTGAAAAATCAACTGCATCCAGTTTCACGCGTTTGAACCAAACTAACTGGAGGGTGTTTTTATGACGGTTGAATGCATTATGGATGCTACGTGTTATGTATGACTCTATCAAGTGGCTCCGCGGTCTACGAACGTCAGGAACTGAAACTCCAACGAGATGCGATTCTTCTGGAGGAGGTTAGAGTATATATATATATATATATACGTACGAGACAGAGCGTACCTTCTCGGACTTTATACGTCGAGAATCCCGTAATGGCCGGAGATTTCTTTCTCGGAAACAGCACGAGTTTCTCATTACGGAGTGCCTGTACTTTGCCACGTATCACCACGTTGAGGTAGTTGTTCGTAGGTATGGCTTGGTTAACCCTTGCCTGGGTGATACGTGCTTTGTGAGATTAGCGCGACTTTTCTCTTGTGAGTACGGCTGTCCTTTTGAGTCGATCCACGGGAGTGTTTGTATAGGTGTATAGGGATACGCGCGTATGTACGTATATCTATATAGGTATAACGTTTAGAAGGTTTACTTAGTATAAATTTTTTGTCACGGTGAATCCGATCGATCGTGTAAATCAATTAGATGCTTGGGATTTAATAAGGTCGATTGAACTAGCAATTATCGGTTGAGTTTGCGTTATTCCATGATTCATGAAATTCCAATAATTTAGCCGCGATAGCGACGGAATGGTGGTCTTTTGGATTTTCGATTTATTTGAAAGCTTCGCTAATTGCTTAAAGGTCTAGAAGAGTAATGGGGACCGCTGTGAAATCGCAGATCTGACTGAATGATAATGATCGATGAATATTGATGATAGTCCCCGGAGGTACCGTGGATAAAATAACGTTATGCCGTATTGACGCGGCTCCCTAATGCCGTGGAATTTCATTGGCGCATGGGAGTCGTTCGGTTTATCGATGCTAAGTATGTAAATTTGAATGTCTAATATCATTTTGATATCGTTGCGTATTAAACGGATGTATGTTTTGATCGTTGAAATTTTTATTCGAGATGTAACGAACGATAATATTAATTGACGACCTGAAAATATTCTTAATAGAATTAAATTATTTTGACGTATCGATGTCATTGGCGCTCTTATATGTATATCATTTTTATCCAAAATTAATTACGCGGTACTGTATCCAAGTGCATGGAGATGGGGGATAACGATGGGGAAGCAGGCAAAATGAATTTGAAAAAAGAAGGACCTCGTCTTACCATTAGGACTGGTAGGACCACCGTGAGGTGGGTATAGGTGTCCGTGAGGATTGTGCGGATGCGGAGGTGGGGGCAGCCATGCGAACCCTGCCAAGGAATGCGGAAATCCTGCAGGATTCCATCCGGGACCCCCAGGGGCCCCAAGGTACGCTCCTGAAGGCCTCTGCACTCCAGGGTGTATCGGTTGAGGCACTACTGGGCTTGATTTCTCCTTCTCCTGACTGGAGTCCAGGTCCTTCTCCAGTTCGCAGTCCGAGTCCATCACATTAAGATCCTCCGAGTGGCCGACGCTCCTTATTTCTTGATCCTCGTCCAGGTGGTCCGTCGTCCTGTCGCCCTCCAAGGATCTGTTCGCCTCGGAGTCGCTCCTCTCGTCGAATTCTCGTCGGATCGGCGATACAGACCGATTTACGATTCTCTCCTCTTCCTGTCGCTCTTTCTGAAACTCGCTCATCCTACTCGGCGATCCTGTGCCGCGATCCCTCTGCTCCAGGTCGATCCTGATCGGTGAGGAAGACTTATCCTGACTCGATCTAGAGAAATCCTTAACGGTAAGGATCTCCCTTCTTTCGACCTGACGTGGATCGGCCAGGTCGGCTCGTTGATGATTGGCGAATGGACCCAGGCCGTGAGGACTCAGTCTGGCCAGGAGTTCCCGGCTCTGAAGTCGCTGCTGCTCCACCAGAAGCTCCCTGTACCTGGCCTCCATGTCCAAGGTCTTCTCCACGTCGATTCTATCCATCCTCTCGATCCTCTCGTCGGAATCTCGCCTGGTCAGAGTGGCTGGTGAACGTTTGGTACCGCTCAGGAGCGAGTCCACGCTGAAGCTGATCTTCCCGCTTCTTGGCTTGAGGTTCGAAGAGGCGGAAGTTGGTGTAGCCATGTCAACGTCTTCCGAGAGACCACTTCCGGTCCCCTGCATCACCACTCCCTCGCCGCTACTCATTTCGATCTTCCCGGATCTTCCTTAGCTAGGACTCCATGGCACGAAGCCTTTAATTATCTTAGGAATACCTGTATACCTGGTCAGTACCTGGCTCTCCGGTACTGCTTTACGCTAATGGTCCACCGAAGAAGTGCATTCCTCGGCTGCTGCAGGCCATGCATTTAGACCGGACCTATGATCCTAGTGACGTCAAACCGTGTAGGGTCGCTGATGATGTCCGAACCAGTCTAGTCCTGGGTAGTGTCATCGAGAAACAGGCCAATCTGGCCTCCACTTTTAATCTCAAGTTGGTACAGCTGATCTTATACCGAAGGATCCTCGAGGATTCTTCTTGGGAAAATAAACGTATATCCGGAAGAGTGATTCTCTCGTTAACCCTGGATGTCTCGACACGTTGATACCTTTATCGACTGAACTCGACACGCTACCATACTTAGCGAAGAGGCAGGAAAGAATCCCGTCGCATCACGGTAGAGTCCTCAAAAGGTCCACGACCCTGGACAGCATCTCAGGATCATCCTGGATCTTACTGATTTACGAGATATATTCTCCTATCAGAGCCACTGTCAATTTTCTTCTGCACTTCCGGTATCCCAGTTTTTCCCAGCGTCTTTCACCAGTCCCAAAACATCCTGCGGCGATTAAGCAGGACGTTCTAGAATGTTTTCCAGGACCTTTTGGTTCCGAGGAACACACTCCACTGTCACCAATGCACCCACGTAGCTCCTATCGATCCGTAATATACAATATCTTATGGATCCGATATCGATAGGATACAAATTTCTTATGATGATTCTTCGAGGATTCGAAGCCGTCGCGATTGCGTTACGTGCGCGCGCGCGCGCGCGGAATAAGGCTCGGATGCGGAATCGCGTGTTGGCCGCTACTCCCGCGAAACGGCACTGATTACCAGCTCGTAGCTCGGAGAACGGAAAGCCTGACCCTCGCTCGGGTGCGTCTACGGTGCGCCGCCCCCGCAAAACTCGAGGAACACGAAGCCGGGTCCCGTCAGCCAATGCGAGGAGCTACGTGGTGCCAACAGGCGTTGCGACTGTGGGCGTGGCTTGTAATCTATGTCGACCAATGAGAAGGCTGGGAAATTAAAATTTCCGTTCGATCTCCCCTACGGCGCTTATGGTGGTAGGTCGGAGTGGGGACGTGGAGGGATGAAAAGTAAAACAGGAGTGGGGGCGCTTCGTGATACTCGGGGAACGTGACGACTCCTAATTGTCTAATTCTCGGGCGCGCGATGCGCGAATTGATTGGCAATCCGGGTTATTGGGCTGGGGTTGTACTACGATGGACGCCTACGGGAATTGCGACGCCATCCAAGAGATTATTAATATCCGAGGTTGGATTTATAGCGACTCCTGAGAAATTGCTCATCTTCCCACTAACTCTCTCACTCCCTCCAACTCTCCCCGCAGTTTCCCCCAGCCACCCTGACTCCAGCCACGTATACCAACACCTATCCACAACTAGCTTCCTAGCGGATGAAAATTTTTAAATTTAAGAAATTCGAAAAAAATCGCAAAAACGAAAAATTTAATTTTTTATCTTCGTTAAAACCAGGCGCTACGAAAATTATGAATAATTAAACATTTTACAAATATAATTAATCATCGTTCTCCTCGAGTAAGGCAATTCGTAGCATACGCCTATGGATATAATAACGCAACGAGTTCACTAGTAGCAATAATTATACACAAGTCCCGTTCACCCTGACACAATAATCTCAAAGTCTTATTTCAAACGTGATTAATTATTAATACAATATCCGTTAACCAATAATCGATCAATTTAATTTTTTATAAAAATTATACGCTATACGACATACAGGTACCGTCGGTACGTCAAACATTCTCGAATCACTCTAATTCTTTTTTTTCTCATAACCCACAAGAGCTCAGCATCTTCCAGTACAGATACAAACCACGTTACTTTACGATCATATCTGCCTGAATCCCTATGCAGGTATAACAACATAAATAAGAAAAAAAAAAAAAAAAAAGAAAAATTCAATCCTTTTCCGTAGCAGTCCTGGACAGTACTCGCGAGTCCCCTTTTGCCATAGAACGAGAAGGCCAATGGGATCTCGCGTCATAAAACACGAGACAACAGTCGCGCGCGACCGGAGCGGCCTTCTCTCGCGATTTACAACTGGCGAACAGCAAAAACCCACTGACGACTCAATTCCTGGGACCACGTGTGCGTAGCCCTGGACCAGTGTATACAAAGGAAGTCTTGATATATATATATACATACACGCATCTCCTGGCGATTCCGCGAGTTCTCCTTACCTCCTTCAATCTCTCCCACCTCCAACCTCCACGACAACAACCAACCTCCTGCAGATCTTCTTGCTCTCCTCTTGGTCCTCTTTCTTCCTTTCCCGAGTACTTCACCTTCTTATTCTACTTCACGGTACCGTCTCCTCCATCCTCAACCAGATCCTCCTCGTCGTCCGTGTCTTCGTCGTTCGGCCTTCTTCTTATACCTTGCAGCCTCTTCCTTTGGTCCATGAGTGGGATTCGATATGCCGACGCTCAGGCGGAGGGCGTAAGAAGGCCCAGATTGTTGGTAAAAGAAATATGTATATAGGTGGCAGAGAGGTATATATTTCTACATCTCTCATTGTCTACGTAAAAGTAGGATGCAGGTGCGAGAGAGCCGTATGGACCGTGCACGATTCACGTATGTGGACGTATGTGGGATATATATCTATGTAGCAATGATACCGTATTACAGTGTCGGTAGACACGTGAGTACGCGAATATAGTTATCTATATACCCAGCGGATCTTTATTTTATATTTATATGTATATCCAGCGTAGCCGCAAGAGCGAAAGCGAAAGAGAGGAAAAAGGTGGGAAATATATTCCTCGAGTTATGATTTAAGGTGTGCTCGTGACGGGGGTGCCGGCTGTGGGGTACGGAGTAAGGGGGGTATAAGGTGGCCTCGATCCTTATGGTAACCAGAGGGATGCTATTGCGCACATAAATACAAGGAGATAAATACGAAACTTCAGACTGCCGGTCGGCGAAGACCTTACTTCAGTTGGAATGAAAAAATTTATATCGAACAATTTTCTTTTATTCATTCTTTCCCTACGAAGATACACGATTGTTATGCTTATTTATAATTTTTCTTTTCTCATTATACACCAATTCCTTATGTATTCGTGAAATTGATTAATAATTCTTATCTCGCGGAGCAGACCGATTATACGAGATTTTGGGTTTATCGTGGATAGGCAATATTTTAGGATTAGGCTAATCCCGTGGTTGGCTAACTGCAAAGATGAAGCTGAAGGGTAAATTCCCATGGGAGCAGACTCCTGGGGGTGACGAGATTTTCGACTTTTCAGAGCCCAAGTCAAGCTGCTTAACTAAATCTCGTTAGAACCAGCCGAAAGAAAAAGCCACGGGGCGTCCCGGCATTTGCTGCTTGAAAATCATTAAGGATAACAATTATTTTCAATAGCGTCCATCTGATACGTCCGTATATTAATAAATGACTCCTTCGAACTATCGAAATTTCGCTCTAATCACCGGTCATTATTTTTTTATCCCATCGACAACAATGACACTCCCGTTACTTCAAGCTCGAGCATAAAACGCGTCGTCGACTCTTGTCAATTACATTGGCACTTTGGATTTACATGGAAAAGCCAATAAATGATGGCGGCTGTCTGAAAGGGGGACCCTGGTGCCACCGTGCCACTTCGGTAGGGACTATTCTACATTTCTCCATAGAGCAACTGAAAGACGTTATATACGTATACACACGTATAACGTAAGTATAAGCATAGAAAAGTACTCGCGACGACTCCAAGTGGAACGACACCGAAAACACGAGGTACCACCATAATAGGTTACCAAGCAGTCTATTAAGCGTCCTCAAAACCAGTTAGTGAGTTGGCAATCCAGTTTAGGTACAAAATGGCTGTCGTTTAGCGAGGATTAATGGTCTCGGGAGTATCCCGGGGCAGCATAATGGGGCAGATGCGTTCGGCATCCCCCCTCTTCCTCTCTACCCACCACCCCGGCACTCTACCTATAACCACCCTCGAGGGTAACCTCATTATATACACCTATCTGACTACGGGGTCCATTATGCCCTTTTTGCGATTCCCTCTCCGTATATGCACCCATAGACTGCATAGACGTAGATATAGATATACACTTATATACAAGTCCACGAGAGCCATCATATTTAGAGCCTGAAGCGCCGTTTAGTTTGGCGTTTCACGCTCGAGTGACTCCCCCTCTCGTTCTTCCACGACGTCGAATTGACTCCGAGTCAAGTTAAACGACTCCTAAACTCCAGTCAACGCTTTTGTGCCGTGGCGTCGCAGTCAGGCACGTTGACAGAGATTTAGAGTGTATTTAAGATGGAATTAGCCGTAGCGGCGAGATGATGGACGCTACCGCGGGCTCTGAGATCACCTGGCCGTAGGTGAAACGGGGAGGTATTTTACTTGCTTGATAAACTGTCACTAATAGATTGACTTTTAACGTGATTTTCGGGGTCAGACTAATGCCGAAAATAGTATTGTGAGTCGGGTGGGTCGAGGAGGTCTGGGGGAAGGGAGATAAAAAAAAAATGATTCGTATGCCCTCGAGCTTAAACTTTATACGTTTTCCTATAATGGGAAGTTGGTGGCAATTTTGCATTTCTAACGGGGTTTGTTTCTGTGCCCAGTGAAAATGCCGAGTAGATGATTTACGTAAGATTGGCAAGAGTGCGCGCACTTTTGCATCGGTGCAAATAATTATTGCAAATTGTGCGTGCTTAGGGGCGGGATTTTTAATAGCGATTTAGATCGCTTATCGTAAAGCAGGTAGGGACTTATGATATTTCATGCCGGCGATTTTTCACGCTCTTAACTTGCTAACGACATTTTTAATGTTTTTAATGTCGCTACTCAATGTAGCGTTTAGCCGTATCTTCGCCTCGCGAGTCAGATTAAACCTCCCTTAATGGCCACTTCATTTTACGGTATAAATCTACCCGTAATGGGAGCACCCTTCAAAATGGCAGATGAGGATATTACGAGTCTCCTTCCAGTTAGCTTCAACCCCTTTTGCATCAGGGTGTTAAATAAACGGAAAATATTTCTATCTTCCAGCTACCAGCACTTCAAGCCCATGCGCAAGCCCAGAATTACGAAATTAGTATTCAGAGCGAGAAACGAAATTTCTAGCGTCTGCTCGAGGAGTGAAATTTTCCACGGAGAATATTATGTCGATTTCGTAAAATTGCAGAGGGGGATAAAATTTTTTTTTATTTTTCGAAAAATTTTTTTTCCCACAATAATATTCGCTTCGTGTACGCACGTCGAGGATTTCGCACGGATCTTAATCCCGTGACGGCGAACGAGCGATTCGCAAAGAATTCGCGAAACTTTGAAAAATCCGCATTCCCACAGGACACCCGGACCCATAGATACGCGACACGCCTACAGTTTAAGAAAATAATGGGTCTTGTTTAAGGGATACAAAGTTTTGCAAAATAGGGGTGGGGTCTTGTCGTGGGTAAAGAAGGGAGGAGAGAGCGAAGAAAAGTGCGCAGGTGAGCTATGAGAAAATTCGAATTTCGAATTGACGGACACGGAGCCGTTATAAGTAGGTACAAGGACTTATCTGGGTATAGAGGACAATTTTTGCTTTTGACTATTGGGTTACTTCGCTGAGAGATTCTCCTCGGGTTCCTCTCTTCGACCGGCAAAGTTTCGGGATTATCTGTTACCAAGGAACATCCTTTATTTCGCTCAGCGGTCAGGTACGGTGGGCGTGCGACTGGAGAAAAATGCAAAATCTTTCGACCGCGCCCAATCCTAAAACATCAAACATTCGTTACCCACCAAAGGATCATCCTGCAAACAGGATTAAACGATAAGAAGCGACCGAGCGACAGAATTTTCTAAGGCCGTTTTAGCCGCCGTGTAAACTTGACTTTACGACTTTGCTTTACCAAAAC